TCAATTTTAGTTGTATACAGCAGAAGGTAATACAATGCCAAACCATTGATTAATCAATAGCAGACAGTCAACCTAATTTTCCTCCTAGTTTTATATTTGTTCTTCTTGTCTGATTCATGTGAGTGGGATATATTTTCAATGAGCTTTCATCAGTGCTGACTAAATCTTTTTGTATAGTCTACTTGTCAGAGATTTTTTTTCTTCATCACGGTGCCTACGACCCCCCCCCCCCCCCTCCCCCAATTCAGGGCAGAGTAACCGACTAAGTTCTTCAGGGAGCCCACGCCCTCCCCCCCCCCCTATTCAGGGCAGAGTAACCGACTAAGTTCTTCAGGGTGCCCACGCCCCCCCCCCCCCAAGTCAGGGCAGAGTAACCGACTAAGTTCTTCAGGGTGCCACGCCCCCCCCCCCCCCTATTCAGGGCAGAGTAACCGACTAAGTTCTTCATGGTGCCCCCCCCCCAATTCAGGGCAGAGTAACCGACTGAGTGTACCCGTTACTGGCCCTCAAATCTTCCGAGAGTAACTGAAATAACTCCAGAAATGGTATTTGAATTATTTCAATAGTGAAAGAAAAAACTAGACATTGTCAGACTGTCTTTCGTTGTGTACGTCATTCCAAGGAATTTTATGATACACTATAAAAATGCAAAACTTAAATGTGAAACTATCAACTTTTACTTGTTCCTTCTGCTCGTGATATGTGTACACAGCTTATCTTGTGTACACGATATATTTGACGTTCTTCTGACACCAATTGGACGTTTTATGGCATTTTAAATATAAAATATCAAGTCATTAACAGCGCAGTGCATGTAAATGTCTTTTTTACGCAGGTTGAAGGAAAGGTTCCGTGATTTTAAAAAAGTACGTTTACAATCGACAAACATTTTGCTTCCGGAGTTATGCGCGTCATTGATAATTTATTATCATAGCCTTATATTTCAGAATTATTAAAGACTTACAACACAGTTTTGCATCACCACTAGCTTCATAATTGTGGTGGATGCTGTCACTTTAAAAGTATGCTATTTCGATTCGACTTGTTGTATTCATTGATTTATTTATCAAAACTCCATTTCCTTTTCGTCCACAACAAATAGAGATCTATACCTATGACAAGACCCGATAAATTAGTATTGCAGGCGCGCATAGACAAGACATCTTTTACGTCACTACCAAAATTAAAGAAAATATATGTAACGCTAATAACACTGAAAGTGGATGACATTTTATTAGACAGCTTCATTGGAATACCTATTCAGGCGCGGATCCAGGATTTCTTAGGGGGGGGGGGCCCAAATTTGAAATTATGCGAGCCAAATATTTGTACGTAATGGTGACCAACAGTGACGTGATGCGGGGGGGGGGGGGGTCGGTGCAGGGAGGGGCGAATTTCTCCCTCCCTCCTCCGCGAAACGCGGAAGCTTTGACGTTTCATTAAATCATTAGAGAAACAAACGATTCGTTGTACAGTTCTCTAAAATAATCCTCGTCTGAATTCAGATTCTCCCCCCCCCCCCCACTCCCGCGCGAAGCGCGGAAGCTTTTACGTTTCATTAAATCATTAGAGAAACAAAACGATTCGTTGCACAGTTCTCGACTCTTAATCCTCGTCTGAATTCAGTTAACCCCTTCCGCGCGAAGCGTAGAAGCTTTTACGATTCATTAAATCATTAGAGAAAGAAGACGATTCGTTGTACCGTTCTCGACTCTTAAGGCAATGTCAATCCCATTTTGGCGGGCAGGCAACCCCCTACATTTCTCTTTTTAATGATATTGTAGCAGGTTAGTGGTGGGCACATAATTCCACGAGCTAGCGAGCGTAGCGAGCGAAAAAAAAAAATTCACTTTTCTTTATAGGGAAAATATGGTACATAAAACTTGGGTTCATTGTTCCATGTCAGGGACGTGATTATTAAAAGCGGTGTTAATTCTATTTTGGCGAGCGAGCGTAGCGAGCGAGCAAAAAAAAAAATCACTTCTCTTTATAGGGAAAATATGGTATATAAACTTGGTTTAATTGTTCCATGTCATGTCAGGGACGTGATTATTAAAAGCGGTGTTATTTCTATTTTGGCGAGCGAGCGTAGCGAGCGAGCAAAATTTTTGTAATGATAATTGGTTCATAAATTTCAGATTTTGTTGTTGCAGGGCAGGGCTTACACAATCATGTCTAAGGTGATGTTAATTCCGTTTTGGCGAGCACGAGCACACCAAAACTTCTTTGAATAACGTTTCGTACATAATTATTAACTGGTTGTTGCAGGTTGGGGCGGGGCACGTTAGCGGTGTCAATTCCATTTTGGCGAGCGAGCATAGCGAGCAAGCAAAAAAAAAAAATTCTCTTTTAATAGAAATTAAAAATAAACTTGTTTTATTGGTGCAGGTCAGGATGGACGCAATCGCGTTTAACGCGATTCAATTCCTTTTTGGCGAGAGGGCGAAAAAACTCTTCCATTTTAATGATATTGTTGCAGGTCAAGGGTGGGCACAATTGTTTCCAAAGCAATGTCTATTCATTTTATTCGCGAGCGAGTGTAGCGAGCGAGAAAAAATGAATTAGTCTCTTTTAGTAACATTTGGTACATATATTGTGTGTTATTGTTGCCATGGTTGCAGGTCGGGGCCCGTCGGGGCAGGCACAATTGTATTCTAGGCAATACTAATCCTTTTCTTTTTCAGGGGGACGAGGAAGTGAAAACATTTAATACAAAATAGGCTAGCAAGCAGTTCGCGCCAGCGAAGAGTTTCAAATTTGTTATGTCACTTATATTTTCCTATTTTCATTTGTTTTAATTTTTCAGGGCCGTATGCGGAATATTTTTCTGATGGGGGGAAGGGGAAAGATGCGTTAAAAGTTTCGAAGAATCTCAAAAGCAAAAGGAGTGAAGGGAGTTCGAGCGACCGAACTGGTCATGAGGGTACTTTTGCATTTTCAAAAGTAGAATTGAAGGATTTGGTATAGGCCTACACTACATTTTCAGGAAAAAAACTGTACGATTTCAAAATATCTGGGGTCAACTGCCCCCCTGGTGCTTACGGCCATGTTCTTTATTCCCCCCCCCCATTTTATTCCTTTCCTTTTCTTTTCCCTTTTTCTTCCTTTTCTCTTCTTCTTCCTTTTTCTTTCCTTTTTTTCCTTTTTCTCTTTCTTCCTTTTTCTTTCCTTTTCCTTTTTTCTTTTTCTTTCCTTTCCCTTCTTTTCTTTTCTTTCCCCTTTTTCTTTTTTTCCCCTGGAGCCCGTCAGGGGGGCACTCTGCCCCCCTGCCCCCCCCCATAGGTACGCCAGTGCTCTTTATGTCTTCCATTCAAATCCACTTACTTTTTTTGTTATCTCTATATCTTAAAAATATCTGAATTTATTATCTCCTCACATTCTCTCACTATTTTTGTTCTCTCTCTCAAAAATGATCTCACCTCCTTTTAACACCTAACTCATATCTTTATTTAAGTATTCCTTTCGAATTCTGTCATATCCTTCTTTCATGACACATTTCTCTCAATTTAAATCAATATTTTCTCACGTTCTCTCACTTTTATCTCTTCCTTTCGAATGATTCTCTCACTAAATTATAAATCTCTTTCATTAAAACTTCTCTCAATTTCTCTTTCCCACGCGTTCTTATGTGTTGTGTATCTCTCTTCCAGCTTCTTACTCACACATACACGATTGATAGTATAGTAATTGAAACTAAGTTAATACATGACAAATAAACAAGTATCAAGTTTGCCTATTTACATATGCTTTACTTACAATAAACATTAGTATTAATTTGGAAAATAATAGAAATAGGAATAGCGATAATCATGATAATGATAATAATAATTCTAAACAATTGTAAAAGTTTTCTTGAAGTTCGCCCAAGTAAAAAAGAAAAACAAACGGTTACTGGTAGCAAACTATGAGCTGTATATGTTTTGTTTTTTTTAAATGATACTTTGATTGCATTAATCCACGCACGCTTCACCGAGCGTCATTCTTTAAGAAAATGCCATGTCAAAATCCATTTGTGCAAGATATTGGTAAACATTTCTATTGTGTATTGAATAGCGTTTTTCAAAAAAGCAGTTACGAAAAAATAAATAGGGGCGAATAACCTTGATATTCCCAAAGTCAATACGTACACACCTGATCAATGAAAAGGTGCCCCTTTATAAATTGAAAATGGTGCCCAGCCTAAGAAGAAAATTACGCTGTTCTTGTATTGATTTTTTTCCTGATGTGTCCATTCGACCTTTCCTCATTATCGAAATGTAAGGCGCCCATTACTTGCTCTTTAAAAAAGTTAAATAAAAATGCAAAAGCACTGTTAATTACAATTGCAGCCCGTTTCAAGAACTAAAATATGCCCTTCTACCCTCACTCTCGACAATATATTCAAAATGCATTGTTGTATGCTAGAGATGGTTTTGATCTTGACCTCATTATTAAAAGAAGCACATTTCTCTAAAGTGACTTGGTAACATTGTTTAGGGTTGATGAAAAAAAAAAGCGTCACATGCAAAAGATATTTATGGTTATCTTTTAAGGCGTCACTGCGCGACACCCTCTAACATTAAAATTCATGAAGCACTAACTATTATTATACAATGAAGTTTGAGCAAGGTCTCTTTACAATACAAATGAGATTCTATAAAACACTAACAAAGATCAAACCGCCACTAATGGTTATCATTAATATGTTATTTTAAAATTGCTTGAATGTGAAGATGAAGAGTGCTCCGTCTTTTAAACATCATAAATTCACATCTTTGTAACAACAGTATTGTCAGTGCTGTTCATGTGAAAATTAGTGCATGGAACGACACAAAACCCACAAACATTTTTAAAGCTCCGATAGACCTTGACAAACAATGACTAAAGAACGAAAACCTGATTTATTATATAATTATATATATATATATATATATATATATATATTATATATATATATATATAATATTGGCGAGAGGGGGGGTATTTCCATTGCCTCATCTAGGTGTTCAGATGCAATCAGGTGGTATGACAAATTGCAAGGAACAAATCCAATATCTATATCCCCATTTCTCGTTCGCATATGTATGTAAATTGTTTGGAGCAATTCCTATCACGCCAAATAAATTGATCATTAGAATTAATTCGGAAACAGTTTGGATTCCATTTAGCAAACGAATGAACGTTAAAATTACTATATGTAAGACTTGATCCGTCTAGCCACATTGCGTCATCGGGACTTGAGCCGGTCAGCCCGATCCAGTAGTCCTTAGTTGCACCCTCTACGATGAAGTCCTGTTCCTCTTGGGACTCGATGAAGACCAGATGAGATCCGTATTGGAAACAAGCAGAAACCGCGGAAGCTTGATTCATCTTGCAAGTGCTGAAATTGTAGGACGACCCGCCGTATTCATATTCCACCGGAGGAGATGAGCATGCTTAAAAGGTGAAAACGATACGTAAATTACAAAATTTAAGAGAGTAGACAAATTGATTATTTGGGTAGAAACTGAAATATTCAAAGAAAGTAGACAATGATGATGATGACGAAAATAATAATAACAATGATAATGAAAACAATGATATTAAAACTAGATGCAAAGATATAAACAAAACTGCAGTTTAAATAACCAATGTAGAAAAAATAAACTTTGCTCACCATCGCAAATAATGGCAGAGTCACAATATTATTATTAGCCTAGACCTATTATTATTATGTTCAAATGCAGGACGTCATTCCAGTGTTTCTCTTACTACGCTCAGAGTCAGATAAAGACGGAGAGAGAGAGAGATGAAGAGGGAGAGAGAGAGAGAGAGTGAGAGCAGGGCTGTGAGAGGGGGAGTCGGAGAGGGGGGTAGGGGAGGGGGAGAGAGTGGGGGTGAAGAGAATGGGAAAAGGGGTAGCGGCTACATTATGATATTAAATGATCAAATGCATGACGTCATTTCATTGTTTCAATTACTTACCGGAGATGATGGTTTCTTGCGATGTCGTCGTGTCTGACATCGTGGTCGTAGGGTACGTCGTGGGTTTGATCGTCGCCTCCGTAGTCGATGATTCTCTTGAATCTGATTTTGTTTAAAACAAACATAACTGAGTTAAATAGTCATAATTTAGATGAGGGTTAAGGGTGTTGAAAAATTCAACCATTTTTACAAAACAATGAAATTATGAATGACACCCAAACAGGATTAGATGACAAAATCTAATAAAATTTAGCTCCATTTAAACATAGATTCCAACAGGTTATTATTTTATAAAGTTTGATGTTTTGTCAAATCCAAAGGGAATTAATTTGCAAAATAATTTATTCAACTGTGTTCTGTGGCGTGTTTGCTATTTTTCAGTTCAGAGCAAAAGATTAAGACGGTATTCTCCCCTCCCCCCCCCCCCAGTGATAGGAAAGGATCAACAAAAAAGTCAGATAGAGACTGAGAGAGAGAGAGAGAGAGAGAGAGAGGGGGGGGGGGGGGGGAAAAATGGGGGGGGGGGCTATTATGGCTAACTATTATGAAAATGATTAAATGCATGACGTCATTTTCATGTTTCTATCGTTATAATTCACTTAGACATACTAGAGAAAATGGTGTTTTGAAAAGTCGTTGCGTCTGAGCGTTTAGACATCGTAGTCGTAGGGCTCGTCGTAGGCTTGGTCGTCGCTTCCGTCGTTGACTCTGTGATCTCTAGAAATAACACGACAAAAAACATAAATCAATGACGATACATAACTTTATTTTCATGTTAATTCTTAGACAATACATAATATACATAATGTGTATTAAACTTTGGTGTGATGGTTAAGAGTACAATAGTAAAACTACGATATTACATATTACAAAAATTAATTGACGAAACACAAAGAAATTGTTCAAGAATTGTTAAGGTTATAACTATTTATTTAATTACTTTTGTCTTTTGTTATTATATTCAAATGTAAATTGATGTAAATATATATGAAATGTGAAATAAAACACTTCGGTAAGAGATCAAGAAAAAAAGTACAATATCTGATAAACGATACATCAAACTGCGTGCAAGTAAAAACAACTACGGAAATTTTGTTTACCCCCGTAGAAAATCTCTCATGCTCTTGTTTCATTAAATTGGCCACCCCCCCCCCCCCATACGCCTATTCCATACACCTACGTTCATCGCAGTGTCTCCCTCGAAACCCACTTGAGCAGCGACAGTTGTAGCCTACCAAAGTCTCCTCACACCAGCCGTTTTTACAGAAGTTTATGCCACAATCTGCGAAAGAAGTAATACATGGGATAAAACCCAATACGGCTAAACAAATTATCCTTACATTTCGTTCTGTTTGTTGTGAAAAGGTATATTTTGGGGCTTTTGACAAATTAATCTATACCAGATAAGCAAGACTAATGCTAATGCATTTTTATCAGGGCTTAGATATATCAAAGTTCATGAAGCCATATGCCTACTCCATCTTTTCAAGGGGGGATGGGGAGTTTTAAGATCGGGCCAAAATTTCGCAACGACTCAGCCAGCCGCTGAATAAGCGGGGGGGGGGGGGGGGGGGGGGGGGGGGGGTAAGAGGGCACTTTTTTTTGTCTCGAAATTTGAAAATTTGACATTTTGTTCCGTTAGGGGGGGAGGAAGGTCACCTTTTTAGGTCAGCCATTGGCATAATTTTTTTTTTTTTTTATTTAAAAAAAAAGAAGAAAAAAAAAAAGGGGGGGGGGGGTTTCCAAAAAACATACACATAAAAAAACTCAAGGGGGGTTTAACCCCCCCTCCCCCCCCCCCCTGCGTACGCGCCTGTACGCCATAGCCATCGGATGCCCCTTTCATTGGTGTCAGTGCCCCTCCTAAAATTTACTGTTTTGCCTGGTGATTTCACTGCCATTGCCGACCAATCGTTCCTGTTTTATTTTGTAAAAGTTGTATGGTTTAGGTTAGAGTTGCCATTGGCTTTTAGGTTGAGGGTTAGGATTAGGGTTGGGGTTAAGGTAAAGTGTTTGTTCCAGTTAAAGGAAATGTCTATCCTTATAGACAATTACTCTGAAAGAAAGCAAAGAAATCTGAGAAGCAGACTGGTAAAAGTTCGAATGAAATCGGACAAACAATAAGAAAATTATGAATTGTTAAAAGTTGTAACCACTATGCAGGCACTTCAAGTTGGCGATATCGATAAAGTCGTCAATATCTAGAAAGCATTATACTTACCCGGGATTCTGTATATTATATGTTGGCAAGGAACTTTTCCAGCGACGAAAGCAGGGGAAGAGAAGAGTTTGGGACGGTCTGCAACATGGTGCCATCGGGCAGTCGCATCCGCTTATAGGACTTCGGCAAGGTGCTTTGCAGGTTGAACTCGCCTCGACCAGAAGTTTTCGTCTGCTTGGACGAATCCGATAAAACAGGCAAGGCTGTGTGGAATAAAACAAAAATCAAATCGATAGTGAGCTCTTCCTCTAGCTACTGCTCTCCCTTCTCTTCCTGCTTCCCAATCCTCCCCTCTTCCTCCCTCGCCTCCCCTCCTCCTCCCCTTTCCACTGTTCCTTCCCTTCTACCTCTCCTCCTCCCCCCGCCCCCCTCCTTCTCCCCATTTTCTATCTCCTCCTCCTCCTCCCTTTCCGCAATCTCCTACTCTTCCCCCGTTCCCCTACTACTTTTCTTCGTTCCCCTCCCCTTCCCTATTTATCCTTATAGCACATTAGCACTCCACCTAATCCTACTCTTCCTCTTTTCTCCGCCTCATCTTCCTTCTTCTCTTCCTCATTCTCCTCCTCATTCTCCCCCTCTTTCTCAACTTCCTCCTCCTCCTCCTCCTCCTCTCCCGTTCCCCTTCCTTCTATCCCTCCCCTTCCTCTTCCTCCCATTCCTTCTCCTCGTACTCCGCCCCGTCCTCATACCCCTCGATATTCTCCCATTTTTGGGTGCCTCTTCATTCTTTTCCTCCTCCTCGCCTCCTTCCCTTCTTCCCCTCTCCTAAACCCATTATTGGCATGAAATTTCCCTTTAAATAGTTTGAAATATTCATTTAGGAGAATTTTCCAAAATTAGAACTATTTATTTACACCTCGCTCCCATTTCGCTTCATTTGGTAGTTTTGAAAGCAAACTTTTGTTCAGCAGCATTCGTAAAATCATGAAAATATGACGCAAATAAATTATGAGATCAAAATTATTCTTACCCCTTCCCCCTTCTCTCCCCCTTCCCCTTCCCTATTTATCCTTATAGCACTCCACCTAATCCTTCTCCTCTTTCCGCCTCATCTTCCTTCTTCTCTTCCTTATTCTTCTCCACATTCTCCCCCTCTTTCTCAACTTCCTCCTCCTCCTCTTCCTCCTCACATCCCTCCTCCTCCTTCTCTCCCCTTCCTCTTCCCCACATTCCTTTTTCTCCTCGTACTCCTCATCCTGAGTCCACCCGTCCTCCTACCCCTCTTTTTCTACCCATTTTCTCCCTCTTCATTCTTCCCCCCCCCCCCTCGCCTCCATCCCTATTCCTCTCTCCTACCAATTAGGAATAACATTTCTCTTAAATATAGATTGAAATATTCATGTGGGAGAATTTTCCAGAATTAGATTGAGATTCCACGTAGAATTGACACCTCGCTCCTTTTTCGCTTCAAATTATGAGAGCAACTTTTTTTTCAGCAGCATTCGTAAAATTATGAAAATATGACGCATAATTTATATGAAGTCAAAATTATTCTTACCAAACGACAAACAGGTTACGGTACCAAACAGCAACTTCCACAATTTACCGATCTTTTGGACTTTAGCCTGTATTTATAATTAAAAGAAAATGTTAATATTGGACAAACAAATTGAACAAGAGTAAGAACAAGAACAAGAACAAGAACAAATAGCAACAACAGAAAATAATGATGATTAATAATTTAGAATGATGTTAATGGTATAATGGTAAACGGTACATGGTAATGATGATGATTATAATGATGATTATATCATATGAATATCAATAAGAGCAATTACGGTTAAATGTAACACATATCACTAAAGTAAAATAAAATGTAATTCGATTTTACATGGATTGAATCATATCTTTCTAACAGACCAAAAAAGACAATACTAGATTATGTCATATCTATTTTTAAAAAATCCATGTTCCATAAGGGGTTCCTCAAGGGTCACGTCTCGACCCCCTCCTTTTTGCACTCTTTACAATCATTCTGATCAACATTATTCAGAGGCATTTCCCAAATGCTTCTTGTCATTGTTTAACCGATTACGAAAAGTCATACATTTCTTTCAGTCCTAAAACAGACCATCAAGATGACAATATCTCAATTTTAGAATTATGTATACGATAAAAAAGAAATTATGTCCGTTCTTGGATGTTCCAACATTAGCTACTGCTTAATGATGGAACATGGTGGGAAATGATTGAGTTTCTCATTGTTGGAACATCCAGACAAGTTACACAGTTAAATATTAATCATACCACAGTCGGAGACTCAGAAGTAAAACTGTCAAGTTCTGTGAGAAATCTGGGTGTGATTCTCTGGGTTTGATTCTTGCTTAAAGATGTATAGAAGCACATAGCTAACGCATACAAATCTGCCTTTTAAAATTATGTTATACAATCTCCGTCACATTCGTAGATACTCAGACCTGAAAAGCACAGAAAGCCTTGTCCATGCATTTATTAGTAGTAGACTCGATTATTGTGATGTATTATTGTTTGGTTTGCTAGATTCACAAATAATCAAGTTGCAGCGTGTCCGAAATGCATGTGCAAAACTCGTGACCACTGACCAATTCCTCAAAATCTGTCCATATTGCACCTGTTTTTATTAAGCTACATTGGTTGCCAATTATGGTAGGTAATTGCATTCGAAATATTTGTCCTTGTTTACAAAGTATCGAAAGGCCAAGTCCCACATTATTTTTCAGAATTAATATCTTTTAAATCACATCCATATGCACGCAGTGGCGTACGCAGGATCTTTCAAGGGGGAGGGGGGTTAACATTTTGAATCGGGCCAAAAATATCGCAACGACTCAGCCAGCCGCTGAATAAGCGGGGGGGGGGGGGGGGGGGGGGGGGGAAGAGGACATGTTATTTATTTATTTGGTCCCGAAATTTGAAAATTTTGCCGATCGACATTCCGTTCCGTTGGGGGGGGGGGGGTAAGGTCATCTTTTTTAGGTGATCCATTAGGATTTTCTTTTCTCTTTTCTTTTTTTAATTAAAAAAATAAAAATAAATAAAAATAAAAATCAACACTGAGAGGGAGGGGGGGGGGGGGGTTCCCGAACAACATACACACACAAAACTCAAGGGGGTTTAACCCCCCCCCTTGCGCACGCGCCTGTATGTGCACGTAACTTGCGAAGTACACAGGATAAGGTGATTATAATGCTACCTCACACAAAAAAGGAAGTAAACTCTTGGAGATTTTGCTTCAAGTTGAGCCGCTCCAAAGTTTTGAAATAACATGGTGTCATGAATTTAATGTACTTTCGAACAGCAAGACTGGGATAAATCAATTTCGATTAAATGGATTGGAAAAGCTGCGAAATTGGATGGGGAAAGGTATCCTTTCTCTTCTCTTCTGTTCCTTTAAAGTTTTTTCTTTTCTTCTTCTCCTCCTTCCTTTTTATTTTCTATTTTCTTCATCCTTATTCCTCTTTCTTCTTCTAGGCCTGTTGCAGATCAAATATTGACGTTTAACTGAAGAGAGCATGGAATTGGCCCAATAGACCAGTTCGTAGTTAGGACATAATACAATGTGTATCGAATGATCATTACGAAGACTCCAATCTTACTCAAGCTTTTGCTTTCTTTGGCTGAAGTTGCATGAACAATCATATCTCTCTAAATTTGAACCATACTGCTATCATTATTTAAGGCATGCGTCACTCTCCTTTTCACCACACGTACATTGCTTTTTATAGCATGCCCCTTATTTATGATATTTTTATTTTCATTTCTGTTTAATTATCTTTTCTTGTTTGCTGTACAGATTAATTACCTTGTATTTTTTCGAAATGTATCATATATATTTGCTTATAATGTAGCAGACAACAAGTAAAATGGCAATCAAATCAAATCTGACTCATGATGGTCATTTCACTATGATTGAAACGAAAACATAAAATACTTACCATTCTACAGATTAATGTTCAAGAGCTTAGAGAAATGATCAAACATCACGATGATAACCTGACGTCTTTCTCGGATAAGAATAACAATCGGAAACGAAGAATACAATTGCTTGATGACGGAAAGGCGGGAAATATTATATTCAAACAGTAGGCTACAGCGATCGATCAACGGGGATCAATTGAAATTGCAGGAGACATTATGACTTGATATCTACTTTCGTCAAATTGTAAATGGTAAATGATACGTTTTTTCCTTCCCTACGGGCGTTAAGCTTGTATGAGAACGGGATCGATATGAAATGCACGTTACGATAGAAACAAGCTGGTATAAAGAGGCACGATACATTAAAAATAATGAGACCGCTATGCACTGTCAGATAATTTAATATCGACGTCCATCACCGTTACCTCCATGAATATTTTCGGCATGAAAAAAAAAATTGTTTATTGAATACAGTCATGTATAATTTAACTATAATAATGCGTCACGCTTGGATGCTCTTGCTTTGGAATAATATTGGATGGCATCGTTTTTTTCTTCTCGTCTCTGTCTCTCACGCACACATACAGACACGCACAAACGCACACACACAATACACTCACGAACTCATACAGACACGCACAAACGCACACACACAATACACTCACGAACTCACACAGACACGCACCAACGCACGCACACAATACAGTCACGAACTCATACACAAAGATCATAATTAATGAACACATTTTCATTTAAATTTCACCTTAATATTTTTTCTTTTTATGCCGCCATCCATAGTGAAGCGTCATTAATGATAAGGGCCCCCTGCACTTTTCCGCGGATAGATAGGATAATACTTTAAATTCATAATACTTTATTATAGAAATGTTATGTTCGTCATTATATGTATATATTTAAATCCCATTTAACCATTTGTTTATTATTTTTTGCATATTTGAATTATACCTTTCGTATACCTTTCGTTTACATGTGTTTGTTATTCAGTTATTGTTTTTAGAAAATATGCAAAAATTAATTCAAATCAGACAAGTCAATGTAGTGAATTCGTGAAAATTTGCAACTTTCATATCAATATCAATTTTTTTTAAATCAGCGCCGTCCTTAGCTGCAGCTGTGTGTTAAGGGGCTCTACTCCTTTCCTATATTTTGTCCCATTTCCTAATCATTTCAAGGAATATATCGCGAGAGTGATGTCTGTCAAGATGGTGTCCATCTCCTGGGCAAGTTTGATTGGAATATTCAACTTGTTTCTTAATAGACCTGGGCCCCGTCTTACAAAGAGTTGATATCAATCGTAACTTATTTGCGATTGATGCCAATCGTAACTATGTACAGAAGAGATAGGAGACTGCAAACTTGCGATTGATTGGAGGACTTACGATTGATTTGGATCGATCGTAACTCTTTGGAAGACGGGGCCCTGGACTCTCAATATTGTATCAACAATTGGATTGCTTTAGTTTGGTTCCTAATAGCGTATTGAATCCTGAGCCTAATGCTATTCTGGGAAACGAAGCAGAGAATGTGACGCTCATCATCTCTTCTTTGATGAATGGAAACACAATGATTCAGTATACTAAATCATTGTGTTTTTGTGCCTAAGAAGTGTATCTCCCAAAGTTAAAATCCCCACAGATGTACGTGTTGTGATGGAAGTAAATGGCATTCTCTGAAGAGGTCGACATGCAGGTCATTGCACTCGACGAAGCAAAAAGTCATCCAGTAAAAGTGGCTTGATTATGAAATCGGATGGTATGCTTTGTATATTATTATGTAACTCGAATACTAGATCAGTCAGAAACTAGAAATGCAATCGTGTCACAACGATGTGCGTGCAATGACGCCATGCATGTTCGCGTGTCAAACGAAAGAGCTTCTCTCGGACTATCCAGAGCAATTTGTACGAAGTCTGTAGCTTCTGTGATATTGGAGATAGGTAGGGCGAAAGA